AGACAGATGATAGATAGAAAGATAGATAGATAGATAGATAGATAGATAGATAGATAGATAGATAGATAGATAGATAGATAGACAGATAGATAGGTGTATTAGTACAATAGGTTCAGCACTGCACTGTTCACTGAAAGGTTGGTGGCTCAAAACCACCAGTAATTCCTCAGAAACGCCATACAGGGTGGCTATAAGTCAATGGCACACAATAGCAAACTAACTATATTATACATATATATATGTTGTTGTTGTTGTCAGGTGCCATCAAGTCGGAACCGACTCATAGAGATCCCATGCACAGCAGAATGAAACAATGTCTGATCCTGGGCCAACCACACTCGATGCCATCAATGATGCCACCTGGCCGATCCATCTCGTTGGGGGTCTTCCTCTTTTTCGCTAACCCTCCACCTTACCCAGCATGACATCCTTTTCCAGGGACTGTTCCCTCCTGACAATACGTCCAAAGTATGAGAGACGAAGCTTAGCCATCTTGGCCTCCAATGAGCACTCTGACTGCACTTCTTCCAAAACAGATCTATTGGTTCTTTTGGCAGTCCACGGCACTTTCAGTATTCTCCTCCAACACCACAACTCAAAGGCATCAATTCTTCTATGATCTTCCTTATTCACTGTCCAGCTTTTGCATCCATATGAGGCTATTGAAAATACCATGGCTTGGGTCAGGCGCACCTTAGTCCTCAAGCTGACATCTCTGCTCTTCAACACTTTAAAAAGTTCCAGTGCAGCAGATTTGCCCAATGCAATACATCATCTGATCTCTTGACTGCTGCTTCCATGAATGTTGATAGTTGATCCAAGAAGAATGAAGTCCTTGACAACTTCAATCTTTTCTCTGTTGATAAGAATGTTGTTTATTTCTCCAGTAGGAGTGGTAAATGGTGGTGGTGGTTATGTGCCGTGGAGTCAATTCCGACTCATAGTGACCCTGTACAGGGTTTCTGAGGCTGTAAATCTTTACGGGAGCAGAAAGCCTCCTCTTTCTCCCACAGAACAGCTGGTAGTTTTGAGGTTAGCAGCCCGATTCGTAATCACTAGGTTACCAGAGCTCCATTTTATATATATATATATATACTGTTGCTGTTGTTAAGTACCATTAAGTCAGTTCTGACTCACATATATGTGGAGTCCTGGTGTGGCACTGCAGGATAATGCACTGGACCCCAGGTCAGTTTGATCCAAAAGGTCCACAGTTCAAACTCACCAGCTGCTCCTCAGAAACCATATAAGTCGGAACAAACTTGACGGCACTTAACACAAGGGAACTTCAAAAGGTTCATGGAAATGGAATTAAAAGGCAGTGGAGACCGAGATGATGATGTGGAATGATGAAGTGACTGGGGACCTTGGACCCAGAGAGGGAAAGGGACTGTGGGCCGAAAACTGGGGGGATGAGGGGGGAAGTGTAGGGAGCAGGTTTCTGGGATATACCCTTTGGGTGGTTGAGGATGCATGGAGGGGATTGGAACCATGGCAGTGAGATGACATACGATGGAATGAATGTAAAACTAAAGTCCTCCCATGTAAACTATCATATAATTCACAATAAAACATTAAAATAAAATAAAAAGTTAGTGGAAAAGTTGAATTAATAGATAATGGAATTTTGTAACAAAAGGAGGGGAGCAGTTGTTTTGGCAGTCCAGGAGTGGAGGACTCTGGGACCATTAAGGGAGAAGAGCTGAGTGTGGGACCCTACCCAGAGAAACAGTGACACCAGGCAGAGGTGATGACAAGAGAGTTGGAGCGGCTGGGAACTCTGGATTCAGAGGGAGAGGGGGCTGTGTGCTGACACTTGTGGGGTGTACCCTTTGGTTGTTTGAATGGTTATATATTCCTGAGTGCTTCGGTGTACATCCAAAAAACCAGAGGGAATGGAAGCAGATGCTGTTGAATGATGATACATGAAGGGGATTGTAATCATTGCAATGAAACGAAATACAATAGGATGAATGTAAAGCTGATGTTCTCCCATGTAAACTATTACCCAATTCACAATAAAAACTTAAAAAAAGAAAGAAAGAAAGAAAAAAGGCAGTGGAATTTTTTCAGGAAATCTTTGAAGCCCCTCGTGTACTTCACAGATTCAGGTACAGGAACAAATACATATGTGACCCGAACAATTGCTTGACTAAACGCTAATCTTCAAAGTCTTTCATTGTAAAACAAAAGACATCTTTCCTAAGCATTTCCTGCAAGACTGATGTTCATTCCTTTGGTCACTTGGTTCTTTTCTGAGATTTTGACAGTTTCTCTTCAGCACTTTTCAAATGTAGAGACTGAGACTAGTCCTTGTTTTTGTTTGTTAAGTGACTTCACGTTGTTTCCGACTCATAACGACCCTGTATAGGGTTTTCACGGAGCAGCTGGTGAGCTTGAACCACAGACTGTGCAGTTCAAACCGACCTTACAGTGCAGCACAGTAACCCGCAGCACCAGACCAGGACTCCTAGTGCTAGCACAAACCTAAGACCTGGAAGACGTTAAAGCAATGTGTTTTTCTTTCCTTCTGGGAAACCGGGAGCCTTCTCGTTCCGGAATAATGTCAGTATTAGTCTCCGCCCTCTAGAGCACACTTCTGGATTTATATGTTTACACAATTATGTCTCATCTGCTACAAGGTTAACTCCTATACGGAGCCGATTCAATTTCAAATCCTCTGGGCTAGCTCAGCCCGCAACTCAGGTATTCTATAAATAAATGTCCAATCATTGTGGGTGAGAAATAATTGTCTAAGGGACAATTCTTAATTGTCCTGCATGAATCCTCTTCCTGTGGATGACAGACGTGTCTCCGAGGAAACTCTGAGGAGCAGATGGAGAGAGAAGAGAGAAGAATGCTGTTGTGCATGGGGCCACTATGAGTCAGAACCAAGTCTACGAGCCCTACCAGGAATAACAGGCATAAAGCACATCACTGAAAACAGAGGGCCAACTCAAGCTTTAGGGTGGCTTTCTTGTTGTTAAGTGCCATAGAGTCAGTTCTGACGCACAGTGACTCGTGTAGGGTTTCCAAGGAATGGCTGGTGAATTTGAACCACCGACTTTGTAGTTCAAACCTGCCTGTGGTTCAATGCTTTATCCCCCAGCAGCACACCAGGGATGCCAGCTGTTGGACAGAGGGAACAGAAACACCAAATAAAGCCTGTGTCTAAAGTCCTGGAGCTCTGGTAGCATAGTGGTTACAAATCAGGCTGTGAAGCTCAAGGTTAGCAGTTCGAAACTACCCCTGTTCCGCAGGAGAAAGATGAGGCTTTCTGCCCCCGTAAAGATTTACAACCTCGGAAACCCTGTGCAGGGTTGCTATGAGTCGGAACCGACTCCATGGCGGTAACCACTAGTACTATGAAGTCCTGTTGTGGCGCTGTGGGATAAAGCACTGGGCTGCAAGGCAGGTTTGAACCATAAGGTGGTGGTTCAAATGCACCAGCTGCTCCTTGGAAATCCAATATGGGGTGGCTTTGAGTCAGAACCAGCTCTATGGCCCTTAAGGACAACAACATAAGCTCTGTACTGATGAGTCAGGAGGAGCTCTGGTAGTGTAGTGGTTATGAGTTGGTCTGCTAACCTAAGGGACCACAGTTTGAAACTACCAGCTGTTCCACAGGAGAAAGATGAGGCTTTGTGCTCCCGTAAAGATTTACAGCCTTGGAAACCTTATACACGGGTTGCTACGAGTCGGAACCGACTCCACAGCACATCACCACCACCACCAATGAGTTAGGTATCAGAGAAGGAAGCTGCTAGATGATCTAGTTACATATTATTCTTAGGTCGTTATCCTTAAAAAACATACTATTGTAACTCTATTACAAGTTGATTTTTGTGTTTGTATTAATACTTGCGCTTTTCTAACCATGTATCTTTCCGGGTCTTCTGTTAGTTGTAGGAACTGATATAGAGTGTTTATAAATCAGAACTTCCAGCAGGTTTATTCTGGCTCCACCTCTGCTGGTCATTTGCATTTCCAGATACTCAGAATCCATATACTAGAAAGATCTCCAGGTGACTCTCAGATATAAGTTGGAATCACTGGGGATCTTGTTACGATGTCATTTCCGATTCAGTCCATCTGGGGTAGAAATGTAAATAATCAGCAAACCCGGCATAGACACAGAAAGTCAGAGAAGCTGCCTTTCTTTAAAGTAGAATTCTCCACAGTTAATAGGATTATCTGAGCTATAATTTCTCCTAACCATGTACATTATAGATCATGACAAATATGTAGAAGGAAAAACAAGGTATTTTCAGATTTTATTACTAACATTGGTGGGTAAAAATGTCTGGTTATAATCTTCCTTCCCTAATCACATTGGGTAGTAATCATATTCTACTTTCTAAAATCAGAAATGACATAAATATTATCTGAGTAACAGCTGAATTCATCCAGGCTTGTAACATCGGTATGTGGAATGTGTAAATCTCAATATGCTGGCATATTAGCATTAACTCAGAGGAGCTTTGGTGAAATCAGAATTCACCTTTATTTTCAAAGACTGTGAGAAGGGGATAGTGTTGCCTTTTAAACGGCCCTCAGTCTTTGCTTAGGTCCCCTTTAGGCACACATAGAAGCTACGTAGAAGAGGTGTTATATCTGCTCTTAAGGCTCTAGGAGTGGTTATAGCAAATTCTTCTCAAAAGAAACTCCGCCAGGGCCCATGGAGTCCCACAGAAATGGAAAATGTACAATAAAATGCCTGCAGGGTCACTCCAAGCAGCAACGCTATACTCTGCCTCAGTCTCCCCAACATCCCTCCAATGGGGCTGCAATCCAACATAGGCATGTGGCTTAAAGCTTCGTGCATGCACCAAAAGAAGCCATCCGAGAACTGTTTTCTCTTACCCAGCTGCCCTAACCCTAAGAAGTTTATTTGAAATCTCTGTTCCAAGGGACCTAAATTTCACAGGCATTGAGGTGTGCAGATAATCGAGGGTAAACATGAGCCCCGTTCTGCACAACAGCACGCATGCAACTGTTACCTTCTTCTTAGATGCTTCCGACTTCTTTGACACGTTCTTCAACTTTTTGTGCAAATGATTAAGCACCTAAAAGACACAGATGAACAAGAGGGGTTAGCCTCCCAACTTGCCATGGATTTGCTACTTGGTTTTGACCATGTAAGATGGTAATATCATAACATAATGTAAAAGCATTATCTATAAAAGAGAGGGCTTAAAAGAAAAGTCCACAATAAACAGAAATTGCCAAATACACCTGCTTCCCAATGTTTGGAGATGAAAGGGAATGACCAACGCCACTGGGTATTTTGTGTTCAGCACCAATGTGCCAGGAGGGCCTGGTTCTTTTTCAGAAAACATCCATGACCACTCACAGGCACGAGATAGCCACTTTATGCCAGACAAGTGAATTCTATTCTTCTTGTTAGATGCTGCCCAGTCAGTTCCAACTCACAGGGACCCTAAGTTGTTCTCGAGGCTAAAATCTTCACAGAAGCAGGTCACCAGATCTTTATCCTGCTGGTTAACAGCCAAGCGTTTATCCATCGTGTCACAAGGTTCCTTATTATATAGCTCCTGTTGTTGTTAAGTCCCACTCATAACAACCCAGTGCAGGGTTTCTGAGGCTGTAAATCTTTGCAGGAACAGAAAGCCTCATCTTTCTCCCAACATAGCTCCTAGATACATCAAAACATTAGAGCCCATCTCCCGGTCTCAGGGAGCGCATCACACAAGGAGGAATGAAAGCAAATAAATGTGGACAATTTCACCTCAATGCTCCAAGGCATCAAGGCTGAATTACGCCAGCGTACACATCTATAGGTTCACCTGTTTTCCCAATGTGCACTGTCTCCACGCCCAATTCCTTCTCCAGCTCTCTTTCTTCCTGCACTCAGGTATCTCCCACTGCACTGGGCTTCTAAACCACACCCATGTTAGGGGCTCAACACCACAAGGTGGACACCATGCACAGGATTTGCAATTAACGACCCTGTCAGCAAGCCTCCTTGAAGATGAGCTGGCTTCTAATTAGAGAAGCTATTTCTGTCTTCCCTCGTCACGGTCATCTCAGGAGATCCGGCATAAAAGTCTTTGAGTGTGCACAGGAATTTCCTGCTCAAAACTGGCGTGACTAAGAGTGCTGATAATGCTATGGTTCTGGTACCTGGTGTCGACTGTATGCCCTATCAGAGGGAACCCTCACAGAAAATTTAGTTCTGGGTGATGACACGCTTTGGGTGACTGTCTCAAGAACCAAGAGCCACGTTCCAGCTGTGTCTTTACTTCCTTCCAGCCCAGAGGCATGGAACTTATTTAAAAGCATTGGACCTATTGGAGGTCTAGCTCCCTGTTCCACGGGAACAGCCTTAGTCACACCAGAACTAAAGCCTCTGGGGGCACACTCCCCATTCAGGCCAGGCAGCCAGCCTGGTGGTGTGGCTCTCTGACTCCAAGTTCTCTGGCCGAGGAGGATACACCTCCATTCCTCAGAGGGCTCCACATCACCAGCAAAACAAGCCTTCCACTGGCAGGAGGAGTGCTGGAAGGGATCTGCACACACTAACAGCCAGTCATTGCCTTCTTTTGCCTGCAAACATCGAGGCACTAAAAATGGACTTCATTGAAGGTACAGAGAGAAGCTTGTGTAGGAGCAGGACAGAAAAGCACTGGGCAAGGCTGGGGGGGGACCTCTTGGAGAGGACAGGCCTGGCGACATGCACCATGGGTTCTTCCCAGCAGAGGACCACAGTGGACTCTGGTCCCTGGAAAAAGAAGCAAGAAGGAAGGAGCTAGGACAGCAGCAAGGAAGCCCACAGTCAACTGCCTGGTAACTCTACCTACAGGTCTGCTCAGCCTTCAGATGAACTGAACTGGATACCTCAGAAGGGACTTCTGATTGAATGGTCAATGGAGAAAATACACCCGAAGCCCTGCTGTCTCTCTTCCTTGGTGTGTGTGGAGGCCTTGCCATCACTATAGAGCAGAGAGCAGGGAGGGGGAAGGTCCGGCCTGAAGGCCCTATAAGGCCCGGGACATTGTTTGGTCTGCCCCTGCCAAAGTTACCACCGTTCCCGCCGTTACATTAGGGGTGAGTTCATTCCATGTTTGGACAAATCTAGCAGGCTAACTTTTAAGTTGATGATTCTGGATGGCCCCTATAAATGATTTTATAAATTCTGGCAGAGAAAAGGCTCCCCACCTGCGCTGTAGAGTATAACCTCGGAAGGCTTTCAGCCTGTGAACACTCCAGCCAGGCCCAGCTTCATTCCATCTGTGCCTTGGTTTAGGAGCTCAGATGTCAATTTTTCTTGAGTCTTACATGCACCTCTGACAGCTGAACTGCCCGAGTTTGAAGCAAAGTCAATTTCAAAGGGGGCTTGGGGCCACTCTGGAAGGAGCATTCCAGAGACCATGGGTTTTCCTATCTGCAATCATTCCCTTCCTGCTATCTGTAGGCCCGGCATGTGTCCGCCATGGTTGTAGAAGGAGATTGTGAACTATGAAAGGCCACCACATGGGGACAGAACTTTGGAAACTCATCATGGTCTCTATGTTTCCCTCACCTGGGTGATCTCTGTTGGTTTTTGTCTTATGTTTAGTCCTATCTCTATAATATTTATATATTCAAAGTTGGTGTCTCTTTTCTCCCCTATAACAACATCAGGGGAGAAGGAATGGAGGTATTCTGATGTGTTAAGTTTACATGGAGTGGCCCCTCCATCTGTCCAGATGTTCCATCAGAGGCTGTGCAGGAAACTACCTGCTCAGCCTTGGGCCCAGGTCACCCTGTCTGGATTCAGCCTTCTCTGGCCACTTGGTGAAGTGGGTACATCAAGGATAATCTTACTGTTAGACAAAGAGGGGTCCCAGACCATAATTCATCCTAAGGGAATAGTGTGTAACTTTGTACAGGAGCAACAGTTAGGCCTCAGAAGGGATGGGTTTAGCAGTGCTCTGGGTCTCCCACAGAGGATGTACCCCGGGGGCTCTAGGCAGCTGGAGCAGCGCTCAGGTAAGAAGAAACCTGAAACTACCATTCATTGTAAATATGTAAGCTATGGGACGTATCAGGCAATCCAGAACGCAATCCTGGTTGATACAAATTGATTTATCTACCCCCAAAATGTGCTGCAAATCCTAAGCTCTAAGCCTGTGGTTATAAAGGGGCTATTTTTGCTATTAATGAGGCAACATCAGTAGGATACGTCTTAAATCAATATCTGCTTTTTTTTTCTTTATGCCAAGTGACCTTTGTATCCCCAGAGACTATGATATTGAGCCTCCTGACCCAACAACTCATGCCTTCAAGGTGTTGCAGCTAAAAACCTGGTATCACTTGGCTCCCTGGATGCTCAATCAAATATATGCGTAGAAACACTCTCTGTCAAACCTATATGTATGTATACACACACACACACACACACACACAAGGTTATAGTCCACCTCTTTCACGCTGGAAAAAAGATAAAAAAGATTAAACAAGCAAATCAGTGAAGCAGACACGAGCGAGGAAGCATGTCAGGCCCCATGGAGACCGACCATAAGCTAGAAAAAGACAAGCCCCTTCCTCGTGGCCCACAGAGGAAGAGCCATGTCCTCCAAGTCAGCACCCTAAGTTCAGACTCTAGCCTCCTCAGCTACATGAAAGAATAAGTGACCATTTGTTAAGGCTGTCCACTGTGGTCTTTCTGTTACAATTGCTCTAGAGAACTGAGAAATTATGTTAGATTTAAATGTGAAAGAAAAACTCACAGCGTCATCACAGATGCCTCTCTGACCATTTGTGATTTCTCATTTCAGCTGTTAGACCTGGACCTCGGAAAAACCACTGACCAGAGACCCACGGAGCTGGGCCTCCACAAAACTGCTGACCAGTACCCAACACACAAGTGGTCACATCCTTAAATGAGAAGCAAACACTTAATGATTACATCAAAGGAAAGCACCTTGAAGTTGCCTGTCTCCACTTAGACCTGCAGAGGATTTCAAATCTTACCTTGAATCCCAAAGATCTTCTGATTATGCTTAGGATCAGACTGTGTCTATGTAGGAAGCATCTCAGTGAATTCTAGAATTTCTGGAAACCATCATTAAAATGAAGGAGCTCTGGTAGCGTAGTGGTTACGAATTGGGCTGCTAACGTCAAGGGGCTTTCTGCTCCTGTAAAGACTTACAGTCTTGGAAACGCTGTATAGGGTCACTATGAGTTGGGAACGACTCCAGGGAACATCACCACCACCACAACCATCATTAAACTGAGCCCTATGTATGCCTTTTATAAATTCCCAAATGACAGAACATAGCCGACCATCCTCCCTGAGGTTTACCTCACAATCTGCACAGAGAAAATAACTTTTAGTGAAGGAAGACATCATCTGCTCCTTTTGCTTATGTCAAACAGTTGGCTGGGAAAAATAAGAATTGTTATTGTGTCTTCCACTACCCTCTGCCTAGTCACAGTCCTCTAATCATAGCATTAGCAGAAACAAAAGGACAGAGAGATGAAGACAATACGTTTGGGAACATTAGAGGGTAGCTCACACATCATCATCATATGGTGTACATAGGAAACCTTGGAAGAATATTCTGTTCATCAAGGAGCTGGCCAGGGTACCGACAAGACAAGACCCATCTCCTTTAGTTAGAATCTGATTTAGAGAACTCTCTAAATCAGAGATGCAGACCCAGGGAACCACTTCTAATGGCTTCAGAGCTTTCTGCGAAGACTCAAATGGTCCCGCTGCAGACTCCTTCCTGGACCCACCTGGCAACACCGTGGAGCAATGCTGCTGCTTAAGACTTGGGAATTTTTCACTAAACTTCTGTGAGCCACACCAACTGTGCTGTGCCCCCTGCAGCAGCCGGTTCCCAGAGCCGCGTTCCCACAGAGCCTCTCCTGGTGAGGTGCCCCATGCAGCGCACCCTGTGACCACACAAGGTCATCAGGACAGCACCGCGAGGTCCCCACCTCGCCCTGCCATCCTGGACTGGGAGTCAGGAAGCAAAGTGGCTTCTCATCATTTGAGGGGGCGCTGAGTGCGCCTCTAGGGCTAGGGTTGCAGGGGGTGGGGACGCGAGGGGAGGTCTGAGAAAAGATGGGCACACAGTTCCTGCATTTCTCCAACTCTCAAACTCCAAGTAACTTTCTTGTGCACCCTCCTGGAACGAGGGCAGCACCGCAGCGCGGGTGGAGCAGGGTCTCCACGCAGAGAAGCCCCACGGACGCCCAGCGCCCCCGCCCACCTTGGCGTAGCAGAAGCAGATGAGCAGCAGCGGCAGCAGGTACCCAAAGACGAAGGTGCACACCACGTAGGCCTTCTTGTGGCGCTGGTTGAGCCACTGCTCCCAGCAGAAGGTGTGGTTGCTAGCGCCGCGGTGGAAGAGGCGCTGGTGGTAGGCCACCGGCGAGGCCATGGCAATGGACAGCGCCCAGATGACCGCGACTCCCAGCAGCGCGTTGCGGGACACCCGCAGCGAGGAGGCGCGGCGTGAATGCACTATGGCCACGTAGCGGTCCACGGACATCGCGGCCAGCGTGAAGATGCTGACCAGCATGGAGACCGTGAAGAAGTAGTGCGTGAACTTGCAGATGAAGGCGCCCAGCACCCAGGTGGGCAGCGCGTACACGGTGGCCTGGAAGGGGATGCAGAAAAGCAGGTAGGCCAGGTCTGCGATGCTCAGGTTGAGAATGAACAGGTTGGTGGTGCTTCGCGGCTTGCCCGGCTTGCTGCGCGCCAGCACGGTGATCACTAGGCTGTTGCCCAGCACGCCCAGCGCGAAGATGAGGCCGAAGACCACCAGCGTGGCCAGGTTCTCCACGCCGATGCCCAGCAGCGGCCACGGCTCAGGGCCGCCCGCCTCGGGCCCGCTCGCGTTGCCCTCGCTGCCGTTGCCGACCGCCAGCTCCATGGCCCGGCGCTGGGCGCGCGGGGACGCCGGCCGTCCCAGCGCAGAGCCGCCGGCGGGGGCGCGGGCGCGGGCGCGGTCCCGGGAGCGCTGGAGGGACTTGCCGGCGGTGGCCGTGGTAGAACCTGCCTGCTACACCTGTTGCTGAGAGCTCCCGGTTTCCCGCGGCCCGCGGAGAGCTCCCTGCGCCCTACCGGCTCCCTCCTCGGTGTTGGTGGCGCTGGGGGAGTAAGGCTGACCAGCGCTCTTCTGTGCTTTCCAGTGGTGGTGGAGTGCGTAGGGGCTCCGGAGCTGCAACTGAGAGAGGGAGCGAGGACTGCGGCGGCTCGGTGCCTCCCTGGTGCCCGGGGGGAAGTCGCCTGGCGGCAGTGACCGGACGCGTCCTAATGGGATGGGTGGGCGCCCAGCTGAGAGATGGGCTCAGCCGCGCCCTCAGGTCTCTGTGAGGCGCGGAGCTGAGGGGCCGCCTGCTGCGCTAGTGGCCCTGCGGGCGGGCGAAGGGCTAGCGGAGCTGAGGCGCTCAGACCTCCCCATCCTGGAGACCTGCTCCTTCTCGCCCTCCTTCCTGGGTGGCCGTCAGTGAGAGCGCCGCCTGTCCAGAGAAAGCCAGGGCTGGCCGTGTCCATGTGCAAAAAGGAAATGTATCCTGGCGCTGCCACCTGGAGTTTTGTTAAAAGTGCTGCCTGGTCCCCGCCCCCACCCCGCCCACTGGAAAAATAGACCTTCCCGAGTGAGTTATCTTGTTACAGGTCTCAGGGAAGATCCACCCGATGAAGTCTGTTGACATCAGCTAATGGGAGATCGTCCTTAGGGCATTCTCCTGGTGCCCTAAGCAGAAAGGCGGGTGTAGGAAATGTCTGCAAAGTTGCTGAACTAAGATGTGGGCCTGGAAGTGGGGCGTGCTGGGAGCATTATCCCAAGTCAAGAACTGAAACGGAGTCATTGATTTGCAGTTTTAATATGACTTGTCTACACCCACTTTCAATAAGGAGCTTTAGTAGCGTAGTGGTTACAAATCGGGCTGCAAACCTTAAGGTTAGCAGTTGAAATTACCAGCTGTTCCGCGGGAGAAAGATGAGGCTTTCTGCTCCCGTAAAGATTTCCAGCCTGGGAAACCCTGTACAGGGTCGCTATGGGTCGGAACCGACTCCACAGCACATTAACAACACAACAACAACAACAACAACAAGGGAGGAGTCCTAGTGTGGTGCCATGGATTAATGTGCTGGACTACAAAGTTGGTTTGAACTACAAGGTCAGCGGTTCAAGCTCACCCGCTGCTCCTCAGAAACCAACTTGACGACACTTAACAACAACAACATTAACAAGGGAAGTCCAGGTGGGGAACCGTAGGATAAGCACTGCAATTTTAGAACCCACCAGTCACTATTTAGAAATGCTATACAAGCTAGTTGTGAATTGGAATGGACTCTATGGAGCTCTGGTAGCTTAGTGATTATGAATCAGACTGCAAACTGCAAGGTCAGCAGTTCGAAACTACCAGCTATTCCGCCGGAGAAAGATGAGGCTTTCTGCTCCCGTGAAGATTTACAGCCTCGGAAACCCTGTGCAGGGTCGCTATGGGTCAGAACCAATGCCACGGTACTTAACAACAACAAGAAGACCCATTTTCAATAGCACCTGTATGTTTCCAGAGCTGCCCGGTGACTATGGAGTGTCCACGCAGGATAACACCCCAGGGGACTCCCTGTCACCTGAGACAAAGACATCTAGAAATAGAATGTGGCAGCTACTGGTGGGCACTGTAGGAGAACCACTGCACTCCAAGGTTCGTTTGAGCTCAGCAGCCCTTCCTTGGGAACCCTGTACATGGTGCATGTAAATTGGAACTCACTCAACGGCACTTAACAACAACAACAACAAAGTACTGGTGCCTGAGCTAGGGACCAGTAGAGGCCACACTGAACTTCAGCTAAGAGTGATGAAAAATTTGGAAAAGATAAGAAAAGATAATGATGATAATAGAACGCTATGATGAGATTTAATGTCTCTGAGGACACATTAGAAAGGCTGAAATCATATATAAGGAAGCTTCAAAATGTTCTTGGAAAATTGAATTAGAAGATAGAGGATTTTTTACAAAAACATTTTGAAGCCATCTCGTATACAGTTGGCCCTTGACTACCATAGGAGTTGGGGCACTGACCCACAACCAGTCAAAAATCCATGCGTAGCTTTTGACTCCCACACACTTAGCTGCTAATAACCTACTGTGGTCCTGAAGACATACTGACAACATGAACAGTCCAATTTATAAATATTTTGTGCATGATAAATACTATACATTTCAGAAACACAGAAGCTGCATTTTCAATATGACATAAAAGTCAATACGACTTGTAAAAACCTTCAGGGTCTCACACCTGCTGGCATAGCTTCAGTGACAACTTCACGAATTTTCTATCTTTTCTATGGCAACCGCAGCTGCAGACCTCAATCTAGGGTACACTCCATGCAGTTCAACTTTTCTTGTCACGTCAGGAGTCCTCTCTGGTTCTTAGGGGCACTTCCAGCATCTCCAGTGGCACTCTGTAAGGGTCCCATGGTGCTAACCAGGGTTACAACACTAACAGTGATGAACAGTACACGAGGACTTTATAAGCTGCTCACTGCAGAAACCATGGCTCACTCAAAGATAAGCAGCATCACAATGCATTTTAGTTTTAAATCCACAAATAAGTGGACCCATTCAGTTCAAGGCCATGTTGCTCTAGGGTCAACGTTTTTAACACAATAAAAAATCAATCTCAGGAGCCATCTTTGCCTTGGTAAGTTTGGGCAGTGATGCTGTCTCGTCTGTGCTTCATTTCCAGAAAGACTGACGCAACTCACTGAACACACACTGCGTGCCAGACGCATTCCTTGTTTTATTTAATCCTCACAATCCCCTGTAGGGGACATGTTATATTCATCCACATCCTGCAAAGGACAGAATTGAGTTTAAGTAAACTGCTTATCCAGGTTTCTTACTAAACTCAATAATGTGCCTTTCGTTGTTATTGTTAGGTGCTATTGAGTAGGTTCCAACTCATACTGACCCTACGTACAACAGAATGAAACACTGGCCAGTCCTGTGCCATCCTCGCCATTGCTGCTGTATTTGAGCCCATTGCTGCTGCCACTGTGTCAATCCATCTCATTGGGGGGTCTTCCTCTTTTACACTGACCCTCCAATTTACCAAGTATGAAGTCCTCCAGTAACTGGTTGCTCGTGATAACATGTCCAAAGTATAAGAGACAAAGTCTGCCCATCTGGCTTCTAAGGAGCACTCTGGCTGTACTTCTTCCAGTACAGATTTGTTTGTTTTTCTGGCAGTCCATGGTACTTTCAATACTCCTTTCCAATACCATAACTCAAAAGCATTGATTTTACTATGGTCTTCTTCCCTAAAAGAATAGTTCAAAATGCCGTTAAGCTCTTTTCCCATCGGTATTTCTTGCCTGCCCCAGCTGCTCTCTCACGTGGCCTTGTGTGGTAGCCCATTATGCTGGGCAGCTCTGCAGCACTGAGTTACTTGTCAGATGATTTGTGGGAGGTTTTATTGTTGTTAATTTAGGTTATTTTTGACATGCACACTATGATTAGATTTAATAGAAAACCCAGACACCTGCTACACACATACCTTAGAATAATCCAAAGTCATCGGTACAGCTGAAGTCACCTCTATGATGTCCCAGATTTCCTATCTCTTGGTCATTTCTTTATGTTTGATCTGAATGCATGTACCCTGAAATAACACACAACAATGTTTTGAATTATTTCATGTTACATGATTGGTATTATAATGCATGTTTGTAGTGTTTGTTTGAGTTTGTGTTTTTGTTGTTGTTTGTTTTGTTTTCTTAAAGTATAATTTGCCTTTTATACACCAACTTTGTTTTTATTTGTTATATCTTTTGCAACCCTCCTACGTTCTGTGATTTTGGAAACAGCACCTAGTTGATTTTTAAATCCAATTTATAATCTTTATTTTTCTAATTAATGATAATTAGTCCATTTACATTTATTGTGATAACATATATTGTATATACTTTTTTTGTTTTTGTTTTTGTTTTGTTTTTGCCGTTGAGTCGGTTCCGACCCATAGCGACCCTGTACAGTGTTTCTGAAGCTGTAAATCTTTACTGGAGCAGAATGCTGCATCTTTCTCCCACCGAGTGGCTGGTAGTTTCGAACTGCTGGCCTCAAGGTTCTCAGCCCAATTCATAACCACTATGCTACCAGAGCTCCTTACATATATGTATATACTATATTATGTATATACTAGGGGACATCAAAAAGCGTATGGAAAACTTCCAATATCTCTTAATTCCATTTTTCCATGATCTTCATGAAGCCCCCTTATGTGTGTGTGTGTGTGTGTGTGTGTACACACATAAGCATCAGTAAAGAAGTACTACTATTAGAGTTCCAGTTCATACACACACAGATTTATTCCAAACAGAACATATTTAAATATCTCTCTGCAATCAGTGGATGTTTGCAGCCCGGTTCTCTCAGTGATATGCTTGTCTTAGTCTCCTCAGGATGGTTTCACACAAAAAGGTCCAACCATGATCAATTGGCATAACATAGTCCACAAGGACAATGTTCTACATCCTACTTGGGTGAGTAGTGACTGGGATCTTAAAAGCTCATATGCAGCTATCTAGGAGCTCTGATAACATAGTGGTTACGAATCGAGCTGCGAACCTTAAGGTCAGCAGTTTGAAACTATCAGCCGCTTCACAGGAGAAAGATGAGGCTTTCTACTCCCATCAAGATTTACAGCCTTGGAAACTCTGTACAGGGTCGTTATGGGCTGGAATCGACTCGAGGGCACTTAACAACAACAACAAGATGCAACTATTGGTCTTTCCATGGCAGAAGAAAGAAGAGTGGTAAGAACTGAAGACACTTGTAATCTATTAGTCCAATGCACTAATGGAACATGTGAACATCAGTCTCCATGACTCTGAGACCAGAAGAAATAGATGGTGCC